CTAAGGAGGCACGGTCCTAGGGAGCGAAAGCCGACGGCAGTCTGTAAGCTGGCGATGGCAAGAGCAAATAACGCCACGATTAACTTTAAACCAATTCCAAGTTAACGTCCTCCTCGGGCTCTCCCTTCTCAGAGCCCGTGCCATCTCTAGGGTCTGCTTCAGGCGAGGAAGTCTTCTGAGGGTACCTGGGCTACAGGCAGAATGAAAACAGTCGAGCAGTGCCCGAGCGGGCCGTGTGCCCTGCTGTCAGCCTGCAGCGCAGGCGCCGGGGCCGAGCGCGGCCCCCGTGAGTCGTCAGAAGGAGTTACGCCGAGAGGGAGGTGTACGCATTAAAGAATAAATTAAGCCAAAGGACACCAGGGGCGGGGTAGGAGGAAAGAGCCACGTTCAGACCTAGCAACACCGTCTCTGTTTTTGGAAAAGATTCAGAGGCAACCGCTTCAGGAGCGACTGCTTTTTTCACCTTGGAACTGGTTTCGCAGCTTCGCGTCAGCGCGCGGAAGCCCGGGCGCGCTCCCGACCTGCCGAGCGCGCTCTGCAGCGGTGTCTGCTGCGGCTGCGGACACCCCAACCTGCCCGCGCGCTCGTGCCGCCAAGTAAACGGGAACCTCCTAGAGGAACGGGCAAGCGGCCGGCACCGTCCTGGTGCGTGTGCTAGCCTGCAGTGCGGGAAAATAGGGCGATTCCCCTGCAATCTTCCTGCACAGCTGTTTACTAGCTGCGGATTACTGCTGTCACATGAGCTGCTTTACAGCAAAGCCAAGCTGTCTTCATGAGCTGAGAAGGTCACTGGGAGACAGGGGCCTCCAGGGACAAACACACTGCCCTCTACCGTGGCTGTGATTTACTTCCCAGAGGGATGCCAGGCAGCAGGAAAAGCATTCCCTTCTGGTCAGAGGGCAAAGAAAAATGGGTTTTACCTTCAAGCCTTCTGCCCAGCTACTATTACGACTCATCCAGTGAAAGGCGAGAGCAGGGATGTCCCAGTGGGTTAGGCTCGCGCTGTCTGTTTGCCAGGCTGTAATCGAGGTGCTGGTGAGCACAGGGGAGGGCTGGAATGGTCCTTACGGTGACAAACGCCCTCCCGCTCCCTTGTGCGCCCATAGGCAAGGGCAACCTACCAACACTTCAGACAAGGCCACCCAAGAACGTCACCAGCCAAGGAACGCCACGCCGGAGTCCCATCGCCCCAGGCTCACCCACAACCTGCTGACACCGCAGAACATAAATGAACGAACCCTTCCTCAAAGGAGCATCTAGAAACGTTGTCCTTTTCTAACCCAAAACCTAACCTCGCAACATGAGGGCCAATGGAGAGAGAAGACCTTCACCTGGAAAACCAGAAGTCTGAAGGTCCAGTGCAGCCACAGAGGAAAATGACTTAAAACCTGCCATCTTCATCATTCTGCCGTAGGCAGGTTTGGTGGACGAGGAGAACATTTCTGCAAGCAAGACAGCTCAGACGCTCACATGCGGTTGCAGGATGGGGCTCTTTACTATGCCCCAGAGGCACAAGACAGATGGGGTTGTGCTTTTAGGCCTTAAAATCAGTCCCTGCTACAGAGATCCAATGAAGAGGATAAATACAGCCACAGAATGAATCTCTAGGCACTCTAAGAAGAAAGAAATACAGGAACTTAAGAGGTCAAACTCTGCTCCGAAAGCAGCTGAGGCTGTTGCGAAGGAGGGGCAGAGCCATTTTTAAAGGCAAAGAAAAGCCTGAAAACAAACAGCGCTTGGCACTGATGCGCCCCGCAGTCAGGAGAGGTCTAGCCCGCACCGCGAGCCCTCGAAGCGGTGAACGTACAGTCTGAAGAGCAGGGAGTGAAGGAGGCTGCGCTGGGAACAGACAGCGCAAGTAGCTCCGCGGGGAAGACACGTCAGTCTAATATACAAGACTACTGGCTTCTTGAACGGCCAGACGTACAAAACATGCCTGGACGCACCGTGAAGAGGAACGTCCTTGGGAAAGCCCCAGCTTGTAGCTTAGCTTACAAGGTATTTCTCCTTCTAGTGGGGGGCCTGGCGGGGGAAAGAGTTTACAAAAACCATCTCATTTCATAAAATGCCTTACACAGTTACAACAGCTTGCTGGGATTTCAGCCAGCTTCCCATTTGGATCAGATTGCACCCTACGCCCACTGACAGCCATTAAGAGCCTGGAGCTCACAGCCGCCCTCAGGTCAGACAAGCCTCCGTGCCTTCAAAACGCAGGCTCGTTTTCCAAAGGCTCTCCCCGGATAACGGGAGAGGGTGCCCCGATCCGGCCCACTTCGTAGCTACAAGGGTACCTGCAAGGAAGGCAAAACCTGTGCCCTGCTGTCACGGAGCGGCAGATTGCAGCCCAGTTCTGCTGTAACGCCGGGGTGCAGGGGGATTAGAAAGCCCCTCTCCATCTGCCCTGATTCAGAGCTGCTCTTTCAATTCTCCGAGCCCTTGAATGGTGCCAGAGGTAGAAGCGGCGTAGCACAGGTAGAAAACCAGCAATGCAACCACAGACAAGCCAGGGACATCCGCGCTCACCCATCGCCCCATGGCTGGGGGCGAGGAAACACCACTTCCCCAAGCACGAGGCCACCTACTTGCAAGCTGAAAGTTGTGCGGAGCTGCCTTTGCACACCCTACGCCTGGGCACCAAGGGGCCAGGTGGGATCCGGCCGCAGAAGAAACGAAGCCCTACACAACTCGAGCAGCACGTGTTGCCTTTGCGGGCTGGTGCCCCCATGGACACGCCAGCAGCCGCCTGCTCCAGAAGCCGCTCGGCTACGGCCGCACGCAAGGAGGGCATGCTGGGATCTCTCCTGTGGGATTGCCTGGAGGAGCAGGAGGAGCGGCTGGAGATCGACAGAGATCCAGATCCCGAGATTGTGCCGGCTGGGCCAAGTGCGGCAGCTCTCAGGTGTCTCCTCTCTGATGTTAACAGGGAAGCTCTTCCACAGAGGGGCTATGATGCCCCATATCTGAAAGGGCCCAAAACATTGAGGGAGAGGTTTGAATCAATTGTCGTTTTAGGCAGAGTCCCTCATACGTACGCTTCGTCCTGGGAGCACTGAACAACTTTTGATGAGGAGCAGCAAGTGCAGGCTGGTTTCGATCCCAGCCTGACCCACCATCTACCTGATTCAACTCTTTGGGGTTTGAACGCTTAAGGCCAGACCCATGCAAGCAAGTTTTGTCAGCACAGCTGTGTCCGGCAGAAATGGCAGAAAGCTGCCTTCCCCAGCCTGACTTTGCTTGGTGGGAGAAGCCACCTGTGACAGTCCTTTCACCAGCGCACAGTTTGCGAAGGTGGTGGGAGCAGCTGTCCCACGGAGGAGCTTTGCTGGTACAGCTCCACCAGTGAAGCCTCCAACTCCATCTGTGCCCTCTCCTTTACGCCAAGAGCTACAAATAAAACGGCGTGGCACTGAAGATGTGCAGTTTGGCAGGAGGGTACCTTCCCACCCCAGCCCGGGGCCAAAGCACAGATCCCCTGGTGGCAGCAGCAGGGAGAACTTGCCAACAGGCCTCACACAAATACCTCCATCCCTTTCACATCTCGATCCCTGGGCTGGAAACAGTGGCAAGCAAGGAGTATTCGTCTATCCAGTTCTGTGCCCCTAGATGCAATTTTTAGGGAAACATCCTAACTCTATTGTTTGCCATTTCTGCATCTGCACTAGGGAAAAAAACCCTCTCGAGCCAAATCCTACAAACTTAGTCACACATCAGTTAAAACGAGTCCTTTACTCCATAAAGATGACAGCGTCCCTTCCTTCTCCTGCCCAGCATTTATCCTGGCCGAAGAAGCGTGCGGCTGCGCACAGCTGCCGCCTCCATCACGTTACGCAGCCGGCAGCCAGAACGCGCCTTTCCCACCAGCAAAGGTGAAACCAAACTCCAGCGAGCTGAGCGCCGAACGCCCCGTCGCTCCCCAGATATCCGGGTGCAGGGGATGTCAGCAAGAGGAGACCGGCAGAGCTCAAGACTTCAGCACCGTGGCTCTCCAGCAAGGCCAATTTGTGGGGGGCTTTGTCACCATAAAGTGAGACAACCATCTGGAAATGAACTGTAACATCGGCAATGGTAAAGCCAAGTGAAGAGTCTTGCTAAGAGAAGGAGAAAAAGCATCATCCAGTGAATACCAATACACACCGCACACATCGCTTGACCTGCCAAAATACTTGGCCTCTTTGCAGTAGGCGTCCTGCACTGAGCAACTGTTTCTGAAGCCACGTGGATTATTGAGGGACCGCGAGATGAAGATGCAGAGGCCTGGATAAATATTTCACAGAGAAACACGCCAAATAAATAGGCTTCATATTCAATCTAGCAACACAATGAATTTCTGGTAAAGCAGCTCATTCATTCAGGGTGCGCCCAGCCAGATTTCCTTATTACTTTCTTGCATGCAGGGTCACCATGTAAAGAAAACTAAGACGATCCTGGAGAACCTGGGAACGCAACAACTTGGAAAACCAAGGCCACTGCTGCTGAAGACGAGCAGAAAAGCCATGCTGCAAAGATCCTTACTAAGACAAATCTCTGTAAGGAAAGACACCGGTCCTGCCCATTTCCTTAAATCCATGTTCTTCCCCAGCTCAAACCTTGTCTGCAACCAGGCCAGGCGCAGGAGGAACAACACCTCCAGCATGCAACCTGCCTCCCTCCAGGCATGAAATAGCCATGGCCCTTTGCTTCCTCAGCCCTGAAGACCTCAGACCAAGAACGCCTTAAAATCCAGCTACCTCAGTGAAGCTGAGCCTTTATGGAAAAAACAAACAAACAAACAACAACAAACAGTTTTTCTTTCAAATTTATAGATAAATAAAGAAGAAATCCTGATCAGCCTGGAGTAGATACCGGCCCTGCGCCCTCCTCCAGACCAGAACAAAAGGGAACATATTGCAACTACGCTGAAAGAGGAGGGCTGCTGTCTATTTCTTTAAATGTAATGTTAATGCCTTGTAATCAGCTTTAATTTTTAAACAGACCCAGCCCTCCTGTCCATTTCCCCTAATTCAGGACACGTGGAAGGTAAATGGCCTATGCTTAAACCGGGACAGCATCAGCTGCGACAGCTGGAGGGCCTGTAAGTCTCCACTGCCTGATAACAGGAATGGATGTCAAAACTCACCAGGGGAGGGGAGACGGGGAGGGCAAGGGAGGTCCTGGAGATGCTCTAAGGTCATCTAGAAGCCAGGAGATGAGGTCAGACAGGGCATGGCTCAATTGCTGACGGAAACTCGCTGAAACCACCAGGACTTAAGGAAGCGCTATAAATGCTCAACCAGAAAAGGACTTGGCAGCGACTCCCTACCTCTGGTGAGGTTGGCTTCCGTTTCTGGATGTTGTTAAAATCATCACAGATACGCAAAGGGGCAAAGGCAGCTGTCTTTTGGAGGAGAGCAACAAATAAAGCCAGGGACTGAGCAACTCCTGGGGTCTCCCCAGGATGGTGCCTTCTGTCTTTGCGAGCTCAAAGGCCTGCTTCAGAGCTAAGAAAGCTGCCTGCAGGCTTCACGTGAGACTCAGACACAGAACAGGAGCACAAACTACCCAGCAGGCTCTCCTCACTCTCCTTGACACAGCTGATCTTTGCAAAAAGGAGAGGAGACCTGCAACACATCACTAGCACTCATCATGTAAAAAAAACCAAAACAAAACAAAAAAACCTTTTCCTCCCAAGGATCTCATGTGACAGACTCGGAGTGTCTCACTGTCCCAAAAGAGAAGTACCGTACCCCAAAAAAATCATGTCGTGCCTCAGTCAAGGTACTCACCAAGGTTAAGCAATAAGCCAAGAACCAGAACTGAACAAGCTAAAACCAGAACATCAGATACCTCGCCTTCCACCATCAGCCTCCTGCTCTGGCCACGAGACAAACCCCCTCCGTGCCCGTGCCCGGAGTGGTCCTGGCGCTACGCAAAGCTCGAATTTGTGCTGGAGGGTAACACAACTGCATGACGCTGTAGCTAGTGCCTGGTTAGCTGGACTGAAGGAAAAATCTGGCATTCAGCACAGTACAAGATGGAGATGTCTGAGCCACTATTTTTAGCCCCGGTTGGTGGGCAGACAAATCCTAATCGTCAGCAGCAGTCGCCTCGTCATCGGTCCCAGCATGTCAAAGCGAAGCAGCACAGCGCCCGCGACAACCCGGCGTCAGCAGGACAGCCTGAGCCGACTGAACCGCCGGCGCGGGCAAAGAGGAGCGCCCGAGAGTAACGCAGGACGCCGGCACAAAGCGCGAGGTCCATCGTGATGGGTTTGATGTCGCCGGGCAAGGCAAGCCATGCTGATCTTACCAAGGCTGGTAGGATTCATCCGGGACTAGGAATGCTGGAAGACGTGGTGCCAATGGAGCAGCGATCCCAGTCGCTCCTGCCCAGCGTGCCCGGCGGCTGCGGGCCCTCGCGCTGGGGTGACACCTCGCAGCACCGTGCAGACTGCTGGCACCAAGCACGCGGTCGGCATCCTACGATCCCAGCGTTGCAAATCGTACTTCGTCCACAGCACAGCTCTCCCGACAGCCGGACATCGACAAAGAAAGGGTGCAAACGCGGAGATGGCTGCAGTCAAGGACCCTCCTCTCTAAGGGGCGCGTGCAGAGAACTGCATGCACTCGACACAGAATGTGCTCACTGCAACCAAGGTTCACGCCAAGATATTTTGCTCAGAGCGCATCAGGGCCCTGCTGCTGACAGTAATTCATTCTCACGCAGTAACTCGGCCCTGAGGACTCGCTTCTCCCTGCTCCTGGAGCGACCTGCTCGGAGCTCCTGCTAAGCACACGCGCCCAGGAGCCCATGCTCGTCCACTTCAGCTCTCCTCGCCGGCGGGCACCACCCTCTCTTCTCCCCTGCCAACTGAAACGCACCTGCAAAAACTCATCTTTCTCATTTCTGCTTCGGATTAGGATTCTATCCTGCCTGTTCCAGGGCAACACTTTGTAAAAAACAAAACAAAACAACTCCTGTTCCCACCAGGAAGACTCTGCAAGAACTCTACCCTTTCCTTCCTGTCTGCTTTGCTGCAAGCAAGTTCATCTGCGCTTTGCCAAGTTGCTATCGTCTCATTTGGACCCTTCTTCCCTAAAAAAGAAAAAAACAAACAAACAACCCCCGCCCCCAAATAGATTTAGCAGAAAAAAAACTTTAAAAGACTCACATTTGCAGCAGATCAGCCTACATGTCCCCCCTGCTTTATTTTTTTTAACCTGCAGAAAGCCACCGGTTACCAGAGGCTCAGCGTGCGGCACCTCCCTGTCCCGAGGCATCCAAAAGCAGGAACAGGCAGTTCTCTCTTTGCTGGGTTCGCCCTACGCACCCCTCTCTGCTTTCACGCTCTTCAGGAGAGGCACACGGCTCGGAGAGCAGGATCGAGGCTCCTGCCTTCCCCTCCTGGATGTGCTTTCGACTGTGAACACCTCACGCAGAGCCTGAGACACCTGGCAACCTCGTTGCAGGCCTGCAGGTCTCTCCGCTGCGCAGAGGAGGGTTTCCTCTCTCCCATATGTACAGCTGAGGGTGGAAACAGGTTTCACCTGACACCTTCTTGACTTCGTGCAGGAGGCTCGGCAGCCTCACCCCGAGCTGAAGCCTTTCCTGCACGTGAGCAGTTTCTGCTATAGAAATCACCAACCGGAACAGCTCTCACGTGCAACAAGTCCCCGTTACCCTAAACGCCAGCTACATGCACGTCCATCCTATGCTAACTTGCAAGAAATGCTTCTATATCGATGCCTTATTCCTCTGACTGCGAAAGCACCGAGCTTGCTAATCCCACTGTGCTCACGTCAGAGTCCTAATGCTCTCCCCACGCTTTCGTCACAACTTGATAATCCTGGCTCACCGTAAGCCTGTCTCCCTTTGGCCTTACTGAAATTGCTAGTGATTTTTTTTGGATGAGCGGGGAGATGGAGATGGACGAGTCCCACCGCGGGTTCCTCTTAGCACCCAGCTGTGCCAGGGTCAGGGCAGCGTCGGGGGCCCGAGCGCTGCCGGCAGCCTGCCTGGCCGGGCAGAGCTGAGCCTCGTCTGCAAAACGTGCTCTGGGGCCGGGAAAAAGAGCAGCAGCTGGTGCGCGGGAGGACCGAGGTGTGCGAGCAAGGCTTCTTTCGGGTGCTGGCTCTGCCCAGCGCAGGTCAGTTAAGCCTCCGCTTCTCTTACCACCGCCAGCTCTTTCCACTGCGCCTCCCTTCACGCCTTTTGTGCAGCTCCGAGCACGCCGCCCCTCTCGTCTTCCAACCTGCTCTTCAAAAAGCCGCACGTTACGCAAAACTGCAATAACCCCAGGCCGCTCTGTGCTTGTCGTGACACTGCGGCTACTAAGCCGACCTCCCTTGCGGCAGGGAGTCTGCTCGTCCTTCACCTCTTACACTTACGGGTTAGCGCTGCTCACTGCTACGGCCCGGTGCTGGTACTACTCAGGCACTAACTTCATCAATATTTAAACACAGAGTCAGAAAACCTGTAGCCAGAGCAGCTTTCAAGCCCCTGATCAGATCAATGTCAAACAAAAGGCTGCAGTATGAAGATGCTCAAGCCGGTGAGGCCCAGGCTGCAAGCTGGCACCGCCACCTCTCCTTCCCGACGCGGCTCGAGTTTCCCTCTGCCGAGGCCGGCGGTTGGGGCGGTCTCCAGCGCCAGCCCTGGCACGCTGACCCGCCGCGCCGAGCTGCCTTCGCGCACACCAAGAGGCGCCCCCGAGGGCAGAGCGCACAGTTTCCTCTTACTGGAGCGTTTTCAAATTCCAGCCAGCTTCACAAATAGATGTTGCTAACGACTCCATTCACTTGCTTCGAATATTACTTTGCTTTAATTCCAGTCATTTAAACATATAACATCTGAGGCTCAAACTGTTGGGTCATCAGTCCCAGCATCCCGACTCAGACCAGCTGCGCCAGAGCAGCAAGAAAACCATAATGCACTTAGCTAGTTTGACACTGCATTGAAGCAGGAGATCTTATTTCCCTTAGCTATAAACGTAAGCGATCACAAGATTATCCACAGCCCTTTCCCAGTTCAGCCGCACTGCTCGGCTCCCCACTCATTGCAATGCTGAATTTAGTCCCAGCTTCTGAGACATCTAGGAACACGCAGAAGTTGCCTCTTTTTAGCCATCCTGTTTCTCTTGTATCACTTAATTGTCATTCAGATGCCAGAGAGCGGATGGGAAAAATAACACATTAGGAAAGAGTAAAACAAAACAAAAAAAAGAAAATAATTTTGTCTGTTGGCTAAAGGCAGGAACTGGAACACCTTACCCGACCTTAAGCAAATTTGTTAAACTACTGTCTCAGCTTCCCTATCAATACGTTGGGGAAAAATGTACCCCCTCAGGGGAAAGTAGCACGGATAAGGGATTAAAATCTCTGCAAAAAGAAACTACGGATGTGTAAAAGCATTCCTAAAGAAAAGCATTTATTGGAAATATTGGCAAATTAAGACTTTGTAAGCAACAGCGAGCAGGGGGAATTTGTCGGTTAATTCCATTACAGCTCTAGAAGTCATTTCCCCTGTCTCCTTCCTGCAACCAATCACACCGAATCGCTCCCCGTTTAATCTCCTGACAGAACCGCGCTCGGAGCAGCTCGTCCTCACTGCATCAAATAACCGAGCGCTGGTGTCCAGGACGATCCTCACGCTCGGACCCCGGGCTTCCGGGTACGGAAGGGCAGACAAATCCCGAGCGACAGTGCCAAAGCTGAAAATCCATCTGCCCTCCATCCCCAGATAGAGAGA